TTGTCTGTCTTTACACCACTGTATACCCAGAGCCCAGATGGTGGTATGCTCAATAAAAACATGTCAAATGACCACAACTACCCAGGTAATTTACTTTAAGGTCATCAAGTACACACAGGATCAAGTCAGTACCAATAAATCAGTTAAGTCCAATGCAACAGCAAACACAAAATAAATTATCACTCCATTCCTGGGTAAGGTAATCTTTGAAACTGTACCAGCTTTTGTACCAGCTCTGAGGTTGAAAGGTTTGATAAGGTTTGATGATTTGGAAGACAGAGGTAATTTTTCCATGTATTTTATGGAGTATTTCTGTAAAAGACAAACACAACAAAACCAAGTACCTAAAGTGTAAAGCCACGGTTTGGATCCTCAGGAAGCACTGTTAGCCTGGCCTTCCTCTGTCCCAGTGCAGGTACCTCCTCCTCTTTCGGGGGGKTTCCTTCCTAAAAAGCATCACCAGGTGACACCCTTACAAAGCTTCCAGCAAAAGTCATAACTAAGTTGTGTTTTCCCACAAAAAGTCTGCAACAGTTCATAATCAYCTAAGGTGTTTTGAGTTGGCAAGGTATCTGCATTTAAGGGGGGAAGATTCCAAAGGTACAAATGCAAAGAATCAGGGAGTCTAGAACAAGAAAAACCACACACAACACTGCTGCTGCCTCTCCCTGCACTCCAATATCCTGAGTTCCAGCTTTTTCTAAAGCAAATTATTTATTCCCACACCACAGCACTAGCCAAAGTCATTTCTTCGCTTCTACTTGTCTATAAAGGCTCCCAAAACAGTGAACTTTTCAGAGGTGCAGTAGTCAAATGATCAGGAATTAAATAAAGCGTGATTTCGATTCAACATTATAAGAGCAAAGTTCTAAATCTGTGGCAATTAGCCAAAACAAAACTTTTCTAATTTTTCAAGTGAATGCAACATAAACAGCAGTTGAAAACAAAAATTACAGCCCTACTAGCAAAGAAACATTCATTAATAAGAGCATGGAGCAATGTTTTGATAATTTTTATTTTAAAGACAACGCTGCACTCACAGTCATAAGACCACAAAAGCAAAATGCTTCTTCACCAGTCTAGGAAGTGCCTACCAGACACCTGCAAGTGCAACTTAAGAGAACAGTTAGGCAGTTCCCAACATTCAGCTTTGCTTCCCTTCCTCTCTTAAGGCAGCATCTTCTTTTTGTGTGTCTGTCAAAGCAGGAAGAGAAGCACTACTACAGCGATCACATAGGAAGGGATAGGATTCTCTTCCTACCCACCTGCCACCTCTCTTAACACTGAACCCCCCTCTTTATTTTCCATCCAGCAGCACCKCGAAGCAACTCTCTGGCAGCCCCTGACTCCTGCATGCTCCAGGGTCAGAGACTTTCTATCAGAGAACAGGCATAAGGTAACCAGCTTAGGTGATGAAAGGTTCTAAACTACACTGTGGTGATGACATCACAACTCTTTAAAATGACAAAAAAAAAATTAATTGCAGCATTAGCAATGGACGAACGTTATATGTAAATTACACCTTAACAAAAGTTTATGGGTTCGCTGTTGTTGTTTTCTATTGGGGATTGAACTCAAGGGTGCTTTACCACTGAACCACATTCTCAATCCTTTTATCATGAGGCAGCATCCAGCAAAGTTGCTGAGGTTAGCCTCCAACTTGGTCCCTTCTGCCTCAGCCTACAGAGTTACTGATGATAGGTGTGCATCACCAAGCAGAACCTCAAAAAAAGATTTTAAAACAAATAATGACCAAGGGCTAGAGAGTGGGATAGTGTGCTTGGGAAAGAATTGCATAAAAGAACCAGAGACCCAACACGTAATTAATAATACATCTAAAACAYGTATCTCCATTGCCCCTGAGCCTTCCAAGGGGACTATTACAAATTCCTTAGGACCTTAGCATATTCCTTACCACCTTTTTATCTCCCTTTCATTCTGCTCCCCCGAAAATAAGAAGCCCTCACTCTGAATCACCTTCATGATTATACCTGCAGAATTAAAAACATCTGATGCACATGGCAATAACAGTGTAAAGCTGGCAGGTGATTCTAGAGAAATCAATTCTAGTTGTCCAAAAGAAGTGGGGGGAAGGGAACCATGTGATTGATTCCCCAAGCCAGACTGCTTCAATCCCATTTTTTATTGCCTCTCAGAGTCTTTACAACTTGAATTACAGTCATCTGGATACATGTCTTGCCATCCTTTACACACGTCCCTCTCCTACCCAATGCCTTCAAGAGTATCTTCCACAGCCTAGGAAGAGTGGCAGTATTTTCCTAATCATATTTAGGAACATCAACTCTGTCTTCATAGGGCAAATAGAGTTCTGTTCCCTGCTGGGCTGCCACTAATTCAAAGCTGTTCTTCCAGACTGACTGGTAGATGACAGTGACAATAAAGAAAAGAATGACCAAAAACTTCAAAATAACCATGTAAACTTTTGAGTTTGGCTTAAGTTTCTATTCACCAGTGAGATTCTCAAGTTCTTAGGAGTTTCCTAGTCATTTACTTGACTAGGCTGTTAAAATACAGCTAAAACAATTTCTATGTCAGTCAACAAACTGTTCTAAAATCCCTGATTTTTGCCTATTACCCACTTCCAAAACCGAACAACAGGGCTGGGTTGTAGCTTAGGGGTAGGGCACTTGTCTCGTATGTGCAGGGTCCTGGCTTCAATGCCCCCCAGACTGGAAAAGAAAAAAAAGTTTTGTACGGCTGTCAATACCAAGTCTGATTAATACCAAACAAGACAGAAAACCTCAAGTTCATATCAAACCTGTGAGGTACCAAAAAAAAAAAGACCCAAGAAAAAACAGCGCAGTGGCAAGTATCACAGAGAAATTAACCAAGCTAATGCACAGAAGGACAAGACGAAACCTGTCAAAAACTCACTGTCCACATGACGCCCATCCGTAATTGAGGAAAGCCAAGGTGTTAACTGAATTCTGATTAATGCCTTCTGCAAAGATCTAAAACACTAAAATAGTGATAATTAACCAAAGTCAAATCTCAGTCAAATAAGAGTATCACAACTTGGTGAGAGTTCAAGTTCTCAGACTTGTGAAATGTATGTTCAAATACTACTCAATGACAGACATCAAAAAAACTGCCTGAGGATCCATAAAGGTACTACACAAGCARCTTTTCCTGAACTTACTCTGAAATACTTCACAGTATTTGTTAAAAAATGAATTTCACTGTCATCATCTGTGGCCCTAAAAAAACCTTATTCTTTAAAGTCAAAACCTTCCACGTGCTTCCAAAAACTTGATGAGTCAGGTTTTTAAAAAACTTTTCTGTAGAAACTGAAATGCATTTCATTATGAGATAATTATTCCCAGCAATAAATCAGATGTAAACTTTTGAGTTTGGCTTAAGTTTCTATTCACCAGTGAGATTCTCAASTTCTTAGGAGTTTCCTAGTCATTTACTTGAACACCATCTACAGTAACACTCAAAGCAAAACCACAATAGAGAGGTTTGGCCTCTGAGGGATTCTACATGTAAAAAACATTACTCATAAAYAATACACAATCACTATTGCTTTAAGTAACAAATATGTTTCTAAAGTTTCATGCCATCTGATGGAATCCCCTATTTTAGATAGCAAAACAAAATCCATGAAACCACGAACAAAGGTTTTGTTTTTTAATTTTAAGTAAGCCTATGATGAATTTTAAGTAAATCTATGATGATACGAAAAGGTGACATGAACTTACTTTTAGGAAAGCTACTTATGGGGAAATATCTTCCTCAAGTTCTATACTATTTTTATTGAGTGGTTTCATTACTTAAGAGTTAGTGGAAATCACAGAATAGTTCTACGGTGATTGGACCAAATAACCCCACTTACATGCTTTTAGGTTGTCCAGTATCCTATTTAATCCCAGGTATAAACACAGCAAGGAACCCTCAACAGGACACATTCAAACAAGTACATCCAGTTGGAGCACTACTACACAGACACATTGGAACACCACCAATCAAAAACAGGTAGCTAGTGCAATGAGACTCCTGGCCACCGACTTTAAGTTCTAAAGCGTACACCAAGAACTTAATGTCTTCCTTTGACACACACCCCAACGCCTGTCCATTAAATGATACCAAGAACAGTTTCACTTCAAACACGACTGAAATTCCAGATAAAAGTTTAAGGATGACCGGAAGACCACAAAATCAGCCTTGACATTTCCTCCCAGGGGATCTAGAGTAGTTCAACTCCGTTAGGTAAGTATAGTCTACCACCTTCATTTACATGAAAAGGAATTCTTTCAACCAACATTATTTTCATCACAATGATGCTTAAAACACAAACTTCAAAATAGTCATCCCATTCACTTCACATTTTGCAAAACCCCATCACCACTCTGCATAAGCTAATCATGCAGGGGAAAGAGAAAAAAAAAACAAAACCTGACAACTCGGCCTTCCAAAACATGCACTTTCTTTATCATGCCCCCAACGTCTATTTTCAAGTGCAAGAAAATAACAGACATTTGCAGCTCCAACAAGAAAAGCACAACCAGCCTTTCTGTACTACCACCATTAAATTTCCCAAAGAGGAGGAAAATAACTCAGGACAGGCAAATTAAAACCATTCTGCACATGGCAGAAATTTTTAAAAAAATTAAAAAAATTTTTTAAAAAAAGGTCTCATGTCCTACAATCCATAGCAAGAGCACTGCTTCCTCTCTTTCCGAGCCAACACCAATAAGCCAAAAGGATACAAGTGTCAGACCCGGCGTCTGTATGAAATAAGACGAAAACCTGGGAAAATTCCTTCCCATAAATCATCCCGCGAACACGAGGCACTGCACCCAACGCCGAAGACACACGACCCCAAACCCGTCGCCCACCCCCAGGGCGCAGGAAAAGCCGCGATCAACAAGTTGGAGCCGGGGCAGAAAAGTACAGCTCGCCGCCCTCCCCCCACCACCCCCCCAAAAAAGATTTTTTTAAAGCCCAGTGCCCGACCCAGGGGGCCGGGCGCCGCGTACCTGGTGGAGGTGCCTTTCCGCACGTCGCAGATGCTGCATTTGAAGGCTTCGGCGCTGTTCCTGAAGGTGCACACGCTGCAGTCCCAGAAGCCCTCGTCCGCGGCGGGCTTGGCTTGCCTCTTCGGCCTGCGCGAGCGGGGACAGGGCACAGCAAAACACAGGCGCGCGTGAGCGGCGCGGTGCCGCAGGAATCCGGCGCCGCAAACTTCGCGGCGCCCCCCGCCCACCCCGCGCGGCCGCCGGCCCGGCCGGGGGCCTCGCGCACCCGCGGCCGACCGGAGGCCGCGGCGGGCGGGCGGCGCGTCCCGGGGGCGCGGGGCGGCGCGGCGGGGCGCGGGCCGCCGCCGCCGCCCGCCCGCCCGCCCGCGCCGCCTCCTCCCCACCTGGGCAAATCTCCTTTGTCTGGGAGGAGCGGCGGCGGCGGAGGGCGGCTGAGGAGGAGCCGCCATGGCTGCGGCGCGCACGGCCCCGGCCCGCGCGGAGCGCCGCCGCCGCCGCCGCCCGCCGGTCTCCATCTTAGCCGCGCCTCCCCGCGCGCGCCGCTCGGGCCTAGTCGCCGCCGGCCCCCGCCGCCCCGGCCTCCCTTCCGCCCGCGGCGCCGAGCAGGTACCTGGTCGGGCTCTTCTTGTCGCCCATGGTCATGGACGGGCTGCGCCCAGCCCCCCCGCCGCCGCCGCCGCCGCCCGCAGGAGAAACGCCGCCCGGGAGTCGTCGCGGACCGGCCCCCCTCCCTCCCCCGCGCCCGCCCGCCCGCCCGCCCTCAGCCGCCGGGGCTCGAGCTCGGCCGCCGCCGCCGCCGCCGCCAGTCTCCGGACGAGACTAGTCCCCGCCAGCGCCGCCTCCGCCGAGTGACTGACGAGGGGCGGGGCCGGCGCCGCGCGTCACGCGCCKGCCGGCCAATGGGAGCGCGGCGGCCGGCGCCGCGGGGGCGGGGGCGGGGCGCGGGGGAGGCGGGGCGTGGCGGACGTGGGCCGGCCGGCGGCGTGCGTGCCCGGGAGCGTGTGCGCGCGGGGGGCGCGCGTGCCTGCCGGGGGCCAGAGCGGCCCGGCGCGGCGGAGCGTGCGAGCCCGGCGGGGCGCACGTGGCCGCGCCCGGGGGCGGGCAACCGGCGGCGGGGCTCTGGCACTGCCGCCCCGCGGGGCAGCCGCCCAGCCCCCGACCCCCMGAGCGGCGCCCGAGAAGTAGTTGTGCGCAGTTTGCGCGCGCCGCGGGRGCTGGCAACAGCCGCGCCGCTCGCAGCGCCTCGAGGCTGGCAGCTCCCCGGCGGCGGGCAGGGCCTCCTCTGGCCCGCGTGCCCGGACGCACTTGTGCTCCTCTGCCACGCGGAGCTCCGGARCCGCCGCCTCCAAAGTCCCGGCCTCGGGTGGAGACGGCGGCCCCGAGCCCTCCCGGCCGGGTCGCGGGAGGGAACTCTGCCGAGAGGGTGTGGTGCACCCAATGCCCCAGGCCAGACCCCGGGCTGCGGGCCGTCGGCTCCCCCTCCGACTCCCCCGGAGCCTCAATAGGGCGTTTCCCCCGAGAAGTTGCCGTTCCGATCCCGGCGACCACATGCCTGCCTTCCAACCTGGTGCCGCAGCTCCTCGCCTCCAAAATGAGGCTCGCAACCCTCCTCCTACGGAGGTTTCGAAAATTCAGAGACACAATGGGTGGGAAGCGCGCAGAAACGCGCCGGGGCCCTGCCCGTGCACCTCGGGGGGTGGGAACGGGCGCGCCCCTCACTTTGCCCGGCTCCGGATCGCGCCAGCCGGGCCGACGTGACTTGGGAAGGGACSTCTGCCCAGGGGCGCGGGGGAGAGGCTGGGGGCCAGACCCCAGAGGCAGAGGCCGCGCAGGCCGGGCCCAAGCCCCAGGTGGGGGAGACACAGGACCACAGGACGTGCAGGAGGTGGCGGCTGGGTGCGGTGTGGGGGGCAGATAAGACGGGCCTAGGCCCCGTGGACACACCGAGTGGGTCGTTATCAAGCCTGGCCCGCGGAGGGTACGCCGGGGAGCAGGAAGTCCTAGGATCAGTCCAGGGATCAGAAGAGAGAGAATAAAAGAGGGAGGCAGTGTGACCACGATAAGCTTGATCAGCACGCGCTGTCCTCTCCAGGCAGGCACGCCCAGGAGGGCCAGGAGGAGCAGCCTGTTTAACAAGGGTCAGCAACCTCCCGGCCGCCTGCTCAGCGGCCTCCTCAGGAGGAGAGGAGGAAGAGGGAGGCTGGATCCCTTGGGGCAGAGGGGCCACAGAAGCCAAGGAACAGAGCCATGGCCCAGTGCCTGCCGCCCTGGCCTCTGGCGTCTGCCTGGCATGCTCCCAGGACTGTGCCCCTGGTGGGAAGGTACTGGGCATGAGGAAATGCCCTTGGAAGACGAGGAGGCACTTCAGTGGTAGAGGCTGCCTAGGAGTCATGAGGGCCTGGGTTCCATCCCCTGAGCCTCAAAAAAAAGACAGAAACCACTGGAGGAGTGGCCTCGGGGAGAAAACCCAGTTGCTGGGAGTCAATCCTTGGTGGAAAGGAGCATGACTTTGTTATTATTATTTGTAAAGTAAAATACACACGCCGGATGCGGCAGGGCAGGCCGGCGATCCCAGCAAGTTGGGAGGCTGAGCCTGGAAGATGGCAGGTTCCAGGAGACTCAGCAACTTAGCAAGACCCTGCCTCAAAAATAAGAAGGACTGGGGTGGAGTGTCAGTACCAAAAAAAAAAAAAAGTAAAATACACAAATCATTCTGTGGCCTGGTGCGTATTGTGACACCCGTGAATCCACCATCCAGGGGAAGGTAGAAGCCGYTCTCATCCTCCGCTGAGCTGCCCACTGTTCCAGCCTCGGCTCCAGAGTGCCGTACCCACGGCTGGCACCTCAAGGTGATATCCATCCTGGCTGTCACCTACATCCGCCATGCGTCCTTCTTTGTTTGCTTAATTAAGTGTGTGGAGTCCCGTTTCMGTTACACCACGATTTACCTGTCCATAGGACGTTGACTTTTTTCAGTCTCCCCTCCTTTGTCTCTGTTAACTTTCCAGAAAATAAATCATCTTTCAAAATATAGACACTAAGGGAAAGAGAGGTTCCAGAATACAGAGCTAGTCACCAGGAACTTATCAGGTCCACAGATCACCCTGCAGCCGGAACTGCAGAGGCCCTGATTGGGTTCAGAGGTTGGAGGTGAATGGTCTCCTCCTAGTTTACCTAGTTACGGGGCCGGCCRATGGGACTCTTCTGAGTGTGTGTGCCACCGAGGATAGCAGAGGACAGCCGTAGGTGTCGGGAATGTCAAGAGGAGCCTGGTGGCAAGTTCAGAGACCCACCAGATTCCCCAGGTTGTCCCAGGGTGTTGCCATGCACCAGTTGGGARGGGGGGACAAGTAAGAAGTAACAGCTCCTCTGGGCTCCAATCTTGCCTCTCCCTGTCACCTTTCATTTGCTTTTGGTGGGCTATTTGGTGGAGGGGGCATTCTGGGGATGGAGCCCAGGTGCACTGAACCACACTGAGCCAGATCCCAGCCCTTTTTTATTTTATTTTATTTTATTTTTTTATTTTAGGACAGAAGTCTCCCTAAGTTGCTCAGGGCCTCACTGATTTTASGCTGGCCTCAAAACCTKCGACCCTCCTGCCTCAGCCTCCCCAGTTGCCACAGAGGCCAACCAGATGCCAGAAGAGGGGATGCAGAGGAAGGGAGGGTAGGGCTGTGTTCGTTCCCTGGAAAAGCGAAGGCCGCCCAGGAGAAGACCAGGCCAGAGCTCTGGGCAGCTAAGGCTCATGGCTGTGGCTGAGGCTCGGGAGGAGGGGCCAGGCTGGAGGGGCAGCCCCGGCTAGGCCCTGTGGCAAGAGAAGGAGCCTGAGTTAGGTGGCAGGGCTGTCCCCTGAGTGCCTGGGAACCACTCAGGGCTCACCAAGAGGCACCTCCACCTGGGGCTGAATGCAGAGCTGGGAGAAGGCAGACCCCGGGGGAACACGGGAGATAGGGGGGAGGGTCCTTTGAAATGGCTGGGGAGCTGGGCCAGGAGGGGCAGTGTGGGTGGGCCTCCCTCCTTCCTTTGGCTCAGGAGGGAGCCCTGTGCATGCCAGAGGAAGGGTTTGCAGAGTGTCCAGCTCAGCGGCCTCCTGCCTTCAAATGAACATTGCCACCCCCAGGCAGGAGCCCTGCTCACCCACCACGCCTGAGACTCTGTCCTTAGGACAGAGAAGCTAGCCTTTCTTCAAGTATTTCAGGGCTCACCCTGCCGCACCCCTGCTTCTCCAGAGGGTCTGAGCCCTGCACCGTGCACTAGSCTCTCACTAATTTGCAGCGAAAGGAGGAAAATCAGGAGTGAATAAAGGAATACTTTGACCCAGTAAATCACCAACAACTGATTCCTGGGAAACAGTATTTTTCATTCTGAGGTTATCTCCTTCCAGTTCACAACATCCTGTCTTTAATGGAGAGGTGGCATTAATCACCGCTGTGGTCTGAATGTGTCCCCCACAATCCATGTGCCTCTCTTAAAATGTCCTCAATCCACCAAGTCGGCAGTTGACAGCTGTGCCTTGGTCCTCTCCCCTCACCAACGTCATCCTTGATGTTTCCAGGGGACCAAGATGTCAATGACTTTGAGGGAACTTTCAGAGCCGGTGTGACTGAGGAGAAATCCGGATCTCAGGATGACCAGAGAGGTCACCCACGGAGGGCAGGAGCTGGGGAAGCCAGGCTTTGCACCCTAATTGGTGAGAATTAACGCGCTGCTTTGCGGGAACGCTGCTTCGGTGGTTTAAGAGAGAAAATTGCTTCTTGGAGCATCTAACCACTTGGTTTCCCGAAGGACACACACGGGCTGCCGTGGGTGGACTCTGGAGAGGGATGCTGCAGATAGGAGGGATTCCTAGGGAAGCAAGGAGGCCAGCTTCTGTGACCAGCATGTCAGGGAACCAGTTACAGTGTCACCTGTGCACGTGCTCATCCGGAACGTGCAGTTTTATGGACCTGCCTCTTCCGCAGCAGGAAATATCAATCCAAATTGTCCTGGGCCCCATTGCCCACCATTTGCAAAACTTAAACGACATCATAGACCTAAGTGTTCACCCTTAAAACTTCCAGAAGAAAATATTGAGAGAAAACCTTCATGGGCTTGGGTAGGCAAAGATTTCTTAGGTGCCAGGCACAGGGGCCCACACCTGTCATCCCAACAGCCCGGGAGGCTGAGGCAGGAGGATCGAAAGTTCAAAGCCAGCCTCAGCAACTTAGCAAGACCCTGTCTTAAAATAAAAAAATAAATAAATAAAAAGGGCTGGGGATGTGGCTCGGTGGTTAAGCACCCCTGGGTTCAATACCCAGTGCCCACCCCCTCCAAAAAAAAGATTTTCTTAAGAATGACACCAAAAAAAAATTGATGCATGAAAAAAAAAAAAGTTTAGGCTTCATCAGAACTGAAAACTTCTCTTTGAAAGACAGTGTTAAGAAAATGAAGAGACAAGTCAAAGTCGGGTGTGGGGGGTGTCAGAATATTTACAGGACACGTACCTTACAGAATCCCACTCCTAGGGATCCACCAAGAGAAGTGGAAGCATAGGTCCAAAACGTCAGAAGAACTTGAACTGGACAAGGAGAAGGCAAGCAGCCTCCGGAAACGCAGGCCAAGGTCATGAACGGACATTTCCCCCCAAAGAGAGACGTGTGGCTGGTGACCACATGGAACCAGGCCCAGCGCCCCTGTTGGGTAGGGAGCGCACGCRTACCACCGCGGCGAGGTGGTGTCTCTGCATGTTGGAATGGCTGAAATCAAAAAACCTGTCCGTGCCAAGTGCTGGGGAGGCAGTGGGGCAG